AGACATCCCACGAAAACTGGACCGTCAAAACCCAAGACGCGCTCGTCAAAAAGCATCGGTCAACCCGAGTCCGGCTTACTCGAATCTTACGCTCCCCCGACTTGGGGGCAGCCGGAGAACGGCTTGCTTGCCAACAGTGATTCAATGGGCGAACGAACAATGGCATAAACATAAGAACTCGAAGGTCTGCGCGGATTCCTCGGATCGGAGATGGGGCCCCCTGGCGGCGCCTCCGGCGCCGCTCCTGGCGCGCTCCGCGCGCCAAGGAGGGGGGTCCAGCGCCGATCCGAGAAATCCGCGCGGACCTCCGAAATTTTAGGTTTGTGTCATTCTTCGTTCCCCCATGGGCGACCTCGTCGCCTTGGGGGCAGCCGGCAAGACAGCTTGCTTGCCAACAAGCGTGGATCCCGTAGCTCGTCGATCAGCCGCCTGCACGGGTCTCGAGCAGAGACGCTGCTAGTCAAGCTTCAGCGTGACAAGAGTCGCTTCACACGCCGCCCGCCGCTTCCCCCGCCCGACTTCGAAACCACGGCTTCGAAAGAGTAGGGCAAAAGGAGACGCGCGGAGGAAGGTCCGAGACAGCTCGCTGGAGCCTGGGCTTCCTGGCCGCTGTCACCTGCGGCCGCTGCTCGAAGCTCATGCTGGCCGGCATGCTGAGCGGCGTTCCGCGCCGCCTGGGAGACACAGCGACGCGGCGGTGTTGCAGGGGCTTCTGGGCTGCCTGCAGCAGCTCAGGCTCCATTCACCTCGAATCCACTGGACACGAACGCGATAGTCATCACCGCCGTTCCGGGGCGATCCGCCAGACTCTCGCAGATCCTATGATAAGAGCAGACGACGGGGAGATCAGCGTCATCCCCCTCGCACTTCCGAAACATGCTCGGTGGAGGCCTCGGGACCTCACGAATGGCGCTTCCGCTGGGGCAGCACCACGCGATGCATCGGAAACGTCTGAGCGAGACGGCCGAGTGCTGCGAGAAGTGCGCGCCGGTATACAGCCGTGCAGCAGCACGCCTAGTTACGCTAGTGGGGCCACCGCGTCGGGGGATGTCGAACACGCGCGGCCCTCGCGTGGCTGCCGCGTCCGCCCGGACGAGCTCTTCGGATGCCTCTGAGCCGACATCGGCCCCTGGATACGCGGTGCGGGAAGGCGACCTTTCACCCCGCTGCCCCGCAGAAGCATGATCACGGATGAGCGAGACAATCCGTGTGACGACAGCCAGCGTGAGCTCAGCCTGGGACAAGACGATCACAATTTTGGCGGCCTGCACTCCGAGCCAGGCCAGTCCCTCGGCCGTGCCAACTGGCCCCGCATCGTCCGCCCAGCCGCCCCCCACCTCACCCCAAGAGTCACCCGAGACGAGACAGGAGGTTCGCTCAACCAGCTCGGTCAGGATCGTACATCGAAAGCGAAACTAGGAGGGCAGACGTGAGGAGGGCAGCTACAAACACGCGGACGAGGAAGGCGATGGTGAGAAGAAGCTGGAGGGAGGAGCAAGAGGTGAATGAGGATGAGGAAGGTATTGTGAGGCAAGCGTAACGCGATACGGTGTGTGTGTGTGTGTGTGTGTGTGAGTGTGTGCGCGTGGGTGTGTGTATGTGTGCGTGCGTCCGTGCGTGCGTCCGTGCGTGCGCGTGTGCGTGTACGTGTGCGTGTGCGTGTGCGTGTGCGTGTGCGTGTGCGTGTGCGTGTGCGTGCGCGTGTGCGTGTGTGTGTGTAGGTGTGTGTGTGTGTGTGCGTGTGGGGGAGTGGGGGAGTGGTGGGGGTAGAGGAAGAAGCATAACACGAGGAGGTTGATACAAGCGGCAAGTGGAGGATGATGATGAGAATGGGGAGGATGAGGACATGGACGGCGCCGACTACGACCACGACTACGATGACGGCGACGGCGACTACGACGATGGCGACGACGATTGCGACCACGACCACGACCACGGCAACGACGGCCGCGAGGACGACTACGATGGGCACGACTACGACGACGACAGCGACGACCGTAGCTACGACCATGATTGGGCCTGTGACTGCGACGGGCATGGCGACGATCGTCTCCTCCTCCTCCTCCTCCTCCTCCTCCTCCTCCTCCTCCTCCTCCTCCTCCTCCCCCTTCCAATCCACCCCGGACCCCCCTCTGGGGCAATTTGCGACCAGGGCCGCGGCTGCGATGACCTGCCCGCCAGCCCGACAAAGGATCCTCAAGCGGCCGAATCCTCTGTTCTCCTGCCTGCGGAGGTCTGCGGAGGTGTCCAAATCCACGGAGGCCAGAAGCCTCCGGAAGTCCCCGGGGGCCCCCAGGAGCCCCCAGGGGCCTCTGGGGGGCCCGGCATGGGCCGAAGACGCGCCAGAGCCCTTGTCCTCGAGCCTCGATCGACGACGAGGCCTCCTCCCTCTCTCTGGCTGTCCAGTGCCGCTCTCGTTCTCCACGATCACCTCCCTGGTCGACTGCCGGGTGCCCTTGCCGCACGTGGCGCTGCATGCGTGGTCGACCCAGTCCGTGACCTGTGTCCGCCACCGGCCGCTGCTCGGGAGGGGGGGCAGGAGGAGGAGCAGCAGGAGGGGGAGGAGGAAAGGGGGAGGGGGAGGGGGAGGAGGGGGAGGAGGGCAAGCTAGGTGCGCTCGCGTCATATCTGACATCCTACCCCTCCCGTCCTGTACCATGGCGTAGATCCCCTCTCTACTCGCACAGTCGGATGTCGAGCAGGGCAATGATCCCGAAAGGGTACGCGATGCATTGTAGAGCACGGCATGGAATGGCGTAGAAGAGCACCGCAAAGCGTAGTATGTCGCAGCATGGCGTGGCGTGGCGTAGTGAAGAAGTGCATCACAAAGCTTTGCAACGCAAAGCATGGCATCGCACAACGGCCCCGAACATAACATTGCATAGCATGGCGTTGAAGATCAAAGCGTAGCATGGGATAGCACGACGTGGCACTTAAGCAATGCATATCACAGCTTCAGCTGAAGACATGGCATCGCGCAGCGGAACGCAACCTAGCATTGCATTGCATGCCGTGGCACGGCACGGGAAATGACGCCAGCGCTGTAGCGGGAGCACGATTCGGAACGAGCGGAAGCGAGGAAATGAAGCCAGCGCTGCAGCGGGAGCACGATTCGGAACGGGCGGAAGCACGGAAATGAGGCCAACGCTGTAGCGGGCGCACGATTCGGAACGAGCGGGGCCCGAAAATGAGGCCGGCGCCTCAGCGAGAGCAGCATTTTGACAACAAATGCAAGCGACAACCCAACTCCGGGAAATCCTGTGTGTAAAAAACAATACGCGGGGGGGGGGGGGGGGCGAACACTCCCAAGCCGTCATCCAGGGAAGAAGGAGAGTAGTATTCATATCGAGTAATTGTGGAGGAGGGGGAGGAGGTGGAGGAGGAGGAGGAGGAGGAGAAGGAGGAGGAGGAGGAGGAGGAGGAGGAGTATCCTGGACTATCCTCCCGACGACGATGTCGTCTCCACCCACGGGCGCGCCCGCGCTTGCCCGCGGCGCCGCGGGGGTCCGCTCATAGCGCCGCGGGCATGGGCGCGCCCGCCGCTGCTGGTCCGCAACGTCCAGCCCTCGCGCTGCGCCTCCGCGTCGAACTCGCGGTGCGGTTTCTGCGCCAGCTGCTGGTCCTCCGCAGCCTGCAGCACTCTTGCAGAAAGGGTTCTCCATGTGGGGAGGGGGGTGTGACGACCTGGGGCTGAATCCCAGCCCCCCCTCCCCGCCGCTTGTACTCCCATCCTCGGCCAGGCTGGCCCTTCTCCTTTGGCAAGGCTGGCCGTGTGCGTCCGTCTTCTCGCCCTCCAGCGCCGTCTTCTCCTCCTTCTTCTCGCAGTGGTCTGCTGGGCTGCTAGCTTCTGCGGTCACAGCTGCTCTCAGCGCCGCCACATTCCCAGCCTCTGCCATCTTTCCTCGGGGCACTCCTCTGCCTCAGCCTCTGCATCAGCCTCTGCCACATTCCCAGCCTCTGCCTCAGGCTCGGGTTCTTGTCCGTCTCGTACTTCATCAGGGTTTGGCGGTTCTCCATCTGGCGCGGGCTCGACTTTCTTCACCTCGTCGTCGGAGTGATGACACTCTTGCCCCAACTGGTCCGTCTGGGGCTCGCCTACTCCTGCAGGTTGCGCCGCGTCCCGCTGCCGGTGCTCTGCGTCAGCCAGCTCCTCCCAGTGCTTCAGCTTGTACGCCATGGAGTCGCAGCTCGGCTTGTCCGCGCACTGGCTCTGCATCTTGTCGCTGAGGTACTGCGTCACCGAGCTGGCGCATATGCGGAAGTACCACCTCTCCTGGCTGCCCAGCCATCTCAGCGGGTGTGACGCGTGCGCGTCTACACCGTGGTAGCTGACGCTTCTTCCCACTTCTGGTGGCGGGCCGCCGCAGCCTTCCTTGAACCATCGCCTGGCCGTCTCGAAGTCCGCGGAGCTCTTCATGACCGTCTGGTTGCAGCAGGTGCAGGTCCAGCCCGTGCCACGGCGCGGTCTGCTCAGAGTGTGCGTGGTGGGCGGCCTCTCCTCTTCCCTTTCGAAGTAGTGTGCTTTGAGCTGCCTCTTCCACCTCCTCGCTTGGGCCTCCTTCTGCCGTGCTCTTTCTACCTCTCTGTTTTCACCTGGTCTCCTGCGATGGCGTCCTTCGCGCTGATAGCGACGCGGGCTCCTAGGTATGGCATGACTCTGCGCCCCTCGCCCTGTGAGCTTGCCGGCTGTTCGGTTGCCTTCCCATGCTTCTCGTGGAACCCCTTTGGGCGCGGCCTCCTCCTCCGTCATGTGGCTGTTCATGTGCTTGGCCTTCACTTCTTGTCGACCTTCTCCTCCTCTGGCACGTAGTGTTGCACGCATCCTCTTCCGCAAGTCATCGTTGGTGCCCCGTTGTTTCTCTCGGTTGTTCCTTTCCTCTCGCCAGTCTATGAAGGTGATCTCGCTGCCAGTCCAGTTCGCGATGGGCCCTTCCGTCGCCTCGAGGCAGCGGATGAGCGCGAACAGCTCCGCCCTGTTGTTGGTCTGCTTGCTTTCTCGGAGGGCCCCGTGCTGGCCCGCCTCCACGTCGAAGTTCGCGTGCCTGGTGGAGCTGTCTAGCATGATCCAACTCCATCCGCACCGCCTGTATCTGTCGTCGTTGCTGCACTCGCCACCTGAGCCGTCTCCGCTGGCGACAAGCTCTTCACCTTCTGCTGCTCGAAGTTGGCGTGGTGCTTGCGCTTTCCAGTGCCGACTTCGTTGCCCTCCTCAGCGCAGCGCGGAGCTGGGGTAGTCCAAGATGCTGGTGCAAGGCCTCTGAGCCAGAAGATCGGGTTGGTCGCCGCCTCTTCCTGAACTCTCCTGGCGAGCCCTTCCGTCTTCTTGTAGATCACGCGCGGTTCCCTTCACCGAGCAGTTGCCCCAGGCGCGGTGCAGGTCTGCGTCGATCTCGCCGCGCTCGCACCGATTGCCCACGGACCCGGAAGGCCTCGCACGCCTGTCTTTTGCCCACGTACCTGCGCGGGCTGCTGTGACCAGCGCGCCTTGCTCCAAGTAGTTCTCTTTCTTCTTCAGCGCCTCCAGGTGCTTGATGGCGCCCGTGTTGTCTATGCCTCATGCTCCTCCTCCGTTGTGGTGTTGGGCTGCTTCTGCCCGCAGCTGGGTGATGTCCCTCAAGAGCGACTTGATGATGTCCTCGGGGTCTTCGTCCTCCTCGCCCTCTGGGAACTTCCACATGTCTCCATTCTGGTCGATCCATATGTCTGGTCCTCGTGATCCCAGCCCGCAGCCAAGAGCATCAGGATGATGCTGCCCATGACTCCTACGCGCTGCTTCCATCTCTTCTCCTCCTTGGTATTCGCTAGCCTGAAGTACAGCTTGGGCCACGCTCTCTTAGCCTGAGCTCTGATGCCTGGGCATTTGCTCCAGAGGTCGAACCAAGCCTTCAGCTGGGCCCTGGTGATGGTGGTCTTGGGGCCGATGCCCTCCAGCGCGAGGAATGTGGTCAGGCATCGTCCTGGCCAGGCTCTCCTCAGCGCCTGGGCGTGCCTTCTCCTGGCTCGTTGCATGGTTGCTGGGCTGAGACCATGGATGACCGCACCATGCCTCAGCGATGCGACTGGCCCGTGGTGTGTTACTCCTCTGCGTCTCCTCAGCCTCAGTCTCCTGGGCTTCCCTCCTACTTGTCTGAGCCGCTGCTCCGCTGCCTGCTCGCGAGCTCCATGCGTTCTGCGGGCCGCGGCGCCTTTGGCCGCCCTGTCTGCGCCCAGGTCTCGCCCTTCACTAACTGGCTTTACGTTGACTCCTGTTTGCTTAAGCTGCTCACCGGTCTTCTTGGTGGTGGAGAAGTCTGAGGTCATGCTTGTCGCAAGGTTTAGCCCGTGCTTCGCGAGCTCTTCCTTGGGGGCCACGGTGGGGGTGACCAACCTGCTCCTCGACTTTCTCCCTGCTTCCCATGGTTATGATGCTGATGTCGTCGAACCACGCCCTTGGCATGGGCGTTGGTGCACCCCGCGCCCTGTCCAGCAAGTTGGCGATGACCGCGCGCACTGGCGATGTCGTTGGAATGGCGCGATCCCGCCAAGATCGACTTGTCAACAAGGATCGCGCGCGAGCTGCCCTCGCACCTCGGAGAACCTCGTGCTCGAGTGTTGTAGCGTCAGCATGGTCAGGATCCACGGGCTGAAGTTCATCCTAAGCGCCTCTGGGATCGGCGTGTCCAGCCGTAGTCTGTCGTAGAACTTCTCTATGTCCGCAAGTGTGCACCCGTGGAAGATCTTCAGCTCATCGCAGCACTCGTCGGCGACGGTCCTCCTCATTGCTTCGTGCAAGCAGCTGTTGCCCGCCGTGGCCGCGCCCCAGCCCTTCTACTGTGCCTCGGCCCACTGTCGGACAGCAGGCCTGTGGAGGAGTTCCCACGCGCGGACCAGCTGCGGCAGCAATGCCAGCGCCCGATCGCCCTTGGCTGGTTTGGGCAGAACCATCACCAGCGAACATAGGAGCTGCCACGGCCACATCAGCTTGCGTTCGCACTCGTTGAGCAGATCCACGATGGCCTGCCTGCCCTCGGGCGGAAGCCTCCTCAAGTCGCTACAGCTAAGCCTGTCTACCCCTTGACCTCGATCGGGCCCGCCCTTCAGCGCTGAGTCCAGGTCCTCCAGACTCCAGGCGATCTCCTGCGTCTTCATTCCCTTCCTTCTCAGCTCCGCCAGGATGGCGGTGTGCTTCTCGTGTGGCATCTCGCCGTTGCTCCAGGTCTTGCTGAAGTCCGCCGCCTTTGAATCCACTATGTCCACTTTGATGGCGCTGTCCCCCTTAGCAATCTTCTCCTCTCTGCGACAAGGCGGCTTGGTGATGCGGTGCAGAACTCCTGGATTTGCTTCCGCGTCCGCAAGCCACTGGCAGACGCTTCTCGTGCTCTCCCTGCGGTCACGCCTCACTGCCGCTTGCCTCTCTGCCCCATGCTTGCATCGCCATTCCACTGATGACGTCGTCTGCGGTCTCCTCCAACCTTGAGAGCCCGCCCCTCCAGATCTGGTGGTGTAGCAGCGCTGCGTCTT